CACGTACCTCCGTTGCAGTTTATCCCCGGCCATGGTTGGGGTCGTGCAGGAGGCAGCCACTTGATGTGTCCCTTGCATGTCAATGTTTCTCTCTCTCTCTCTCTTTCTCTCTCTCCCTCCTACTCTATCTGCAAACACACACACAAAATGGAAAAATGTCCTCGGATGAGGATAAAAACAAAACAAAAACCCTCTAGTTTGTAAAGTGTATTAGGTAGAATGGGTATCAATTACTACTGTACATAATAAAAGAATGTCATCAACTTTATATCTTAGAACATTTCTCTGGGTAAAATTTAGCTAACTGAAGTCACAGGGATTTTTAGAAACGAACAGCACATGTTTCAATACAATAATTTACAGTATGCTAAAGAATCATGCATGAATGTTACTGACAACAATGGTTCACCTAGCAACCAGAATTTGCAAGGTAAATGACTGATCTACTCAGTGTGTGGAGAGACTTGTCCAAACAGCAGACTTGAATGTGTTAACGGGACTTGATTCTTAAAAGGACTCAGCAGAATAAATCAAACATTCTTGCCGGAACAACCAGTTTCAGGACAGGTTTAGTCATACAACTTAAATACCAGAACACTAACATTTAAATAGATTTGGAAAAAAGCCAGAGACTTCTGCTAATCAACAATAATAAGTTTTAGTTAGGCCATCTGTCCACGTTAAACGAACATAATTTTAGCTCTGATAAATTTAAAAATAAGGCTATGTTAATTTTCTTTCTGGAGAAAAAGCTGTATTTAAAAACCCTAACCAACATATTTTAAGGAACCAATGTTTACGCATGTGGACATAATAGTACCTTAAGCAATCATTTACACCCCACAATATTTACTTTTCTTGGTGATATAATCCTTTAAAATCAACCATGCCGGATTCATCCCTTAGGCACTGGGCCTATGCTATTTACAGCTGCATAAATCATAACTTCCCAAATCACGGGGATTAATTAGAATGGTTGAAACCAGGAGGTAGAGAAAAGTAAACACAGTCGCCTGGCCAAGGGGAACCTGCTGGCAGACCTACAACATCCTGCAGTCACAGAGAAACCAAACACTGCACAGACCCTCATTCCAATTCATGCATCGTTTCCTGACCGCGGGGCAGCTGCCCCCGTGAGCGGCTGTGAAGTTCTCCCCTCTGTTCAATAAGGGACGCGAACGGGAGGATTTGAAAGATGCCCTTCAAGTGAGAATCCAAGTAAAATGACAAATGAGGCCCAAAAGCTGCCAACCTCTCAGAACCTTCACATCCTCAGTCTTCACCGACTCCCCTTCCGTGAGGAGTGTGTGGGAAAAGAGGAGTAAGTGAAAGAGGTCTTTGGGCCCCAAGATGAACCTACACATGACTCGGGAGAGGTGCACGCAGAGCAGGGACAGCTCGAGTGACTCTTCAGTGTCTCAGGAGGACGCGAAGGCAAGGGGGCAACAGGTCTACCTCCTTAATCGAGTCCGACCCCCAAACCCCAGCTTGTCCTAAAATGAATAAACTAAAAGGTAGGGATTTGGGTGACAGAGGCAGAAGGGCACCAAAGGCAACTAACATACTTTTCATTAATTGAAAAGAAAGATGAGACCCGCTCCTCTCCTTCCTCTGTGTCTCCATGAATATGTTCACTATTTCAAGAGAAGACGATAAGAAAATCGGAAAAGAACGACTATTTCTTTCTAATATTTAAATTTTTATCTAAAATTTATATACTTATTTTATGTTTCCCACTCACTGGACTATGACCAAATGGCCACCTGCAACTACTGTCCAGCATGCCCTTCAGTGAGACAGATGAGGCTGACCCTCCTTTTATCACCACGTGGGTAAAACATGGAAATGATTGCATGAAGGCTGCACTTACTCTCATTAACTAACAACAAAATTTAATAGCTTGGTGCCCCAAAATATTTTGGGATATCTATTTTTCTTCACTTGAGGCTAATGCAATAGCTTCAGGACGTAAAATAATGAAAGATTAAAAACTAAGTTTTCACACATTTGAGTTTTGTGCCATTAATTTCAGTGTATGAGTCTTAAGATGACAAGAAAAGGCCACGTTGAGCTGATTCTAGAACAGAACAGGAATGTAAGCAGCTAACGGTGGGGGTGAGCTAAGACCACACTGTTTAATGCCCCCCTACCCGAAGTGGCTCTTAATTTAATAAGAGCTCACTTTAAATTCTGACCTATAACATACTTCAAGAAACAAATACGCAAATTTGATTATAACCCTCATCAGTTAGACTGGCATCTATCAATTGATTATTGTGTCTGAAGTATTTATTTGCCCAATTTTTACTCTGTTGCAGCAGAATTAAGACTTAAATCTCTGAGATTTGTTATTCTATTTTTTATAAAAGCAGTCACAGACATACACAGACTGAAGGTAGAGGATGGAAAAAGATACTTAATGAAAATGGAAATAGAAAAAAACTGCTGGGGTAGAAATACTCATTCCAGACAAAATAGACTTTAAAACAAAGGCTATTATATAAGACAAAGAAGGACCCAGCAACTCTACTACTAGGCACTCATCTGAAGAAAATGAAACACTAATTCATAAAGATACATGCACCCTTATATTCATTTCAGTACTATTTATAGTAGCTAAGATATAGAAGCAACCTAGGTGTCCATCAATAAAGAAATGGACTGGAATATTACTCAGTCATGAAAAGAATGAAACCTTGCCATTTGTGACAACATGGATAGACCTAGAAGATATTATACTAAGCGAAACAAGTCAGAGAAGGGCAAATACTGTATCATTTCACTTATATATGGAACCCAAAAAACTAAACAAATAAACAAACAAAACAAACTGGCTCACTGATACAGAAAAACTGATAGTTGTCAGAGCGTTGGGTGATGCGGGGATGGACAAAAGGTAAAGGGGATTAAGAGGTACAAACTTATAGATATAACACAAATAAGTCATAGGATGTAGAGTACAGCATTGGGAATATAGTCAACAATATTGCAGTAATTTTGTACGGTGACAGATGGTTACTAGACTTTTCATGCTGATCACTTTGTAAGTTACATAAATGTCAAGTCACTATATTGTACATCTGAAACTAATATAATATTATATGTCTACTATACTTTAATTACAAAGAGCTTTACATTCCAAAAAAAGGAGGTCACCCATTCCAGGTAAATCAGGATTTGAACCTTGCTGCATGACTCTGAAAGCTGTGTGTGTGTAACTACTAAATTAAACCACCTTGGAAGGATTGCTGGAATTGCTAAATGATTTCATGTGTAAACACAGAAAGAAGACGCTGGCCAGCACTGTGATGGGCCCTAGGAGGGAGTAACACGGCCTCTGTGTGCAAACAGCTCAGCTAGTGTTCTGACACTGTTAGCAAAGGCGGTCTCCTTAAACTCAGTCATCCAATTTATGAACTACTCATAAGACTGGTCTAGCCCCACATGCCTGGCACATAGCAGGCCCCCAGTAAATAACTGTTAAGTGCCGGTGCTGTGGTTCCCATGGGAACCATCCTCATCTGTGCTTCTATTTCTCTCCAGGGTCCACTGCCAGCACTTGTGACTTAATTACCAACCGGCAACCGTAACAGTTATGCCCCAGATGACATGGGCAACCTCGTGACGCCCCCCACCAGATACCCAGCCACCACAGAGGCACCTCTGCATCAGAAACCTTGCTTCCCTTGGGTGCACCTCAGAAATGGGGAAATCCTGTCAGCCTTCAGCTCCGATCCACATTCCAATGCTCACATCAGCCCGGCTCTGCCCTGGCCTGTGGAAGAGCCACTCACAGATGTGCACGGTACGTGTGTGATGACACAAAACTTGGAAGACAGGAGGTACACTGCTGACATCCTTCATTAGAATTCTCAGTATATTTCCTCATGATAGCCAAGGACCTTAACCTTTTCTCTCGTGCCAACACGCTAGAGGATTTAGCTCCCAGCAGTAACAGAAGCTCCCTGCAGAAGTGATTCTTGATTAGGGAGCGGGGGCCATGGTCTCCCTGAAGGACGTATCAGAACTTGGGGAAAGGATTTTGTTAATGGGTGGTGAGAGAGAGGGATCTAAAACACCTCTCGGGTTGTACTGATATGCCCCCTGAAATGAGAATCACTTTATAGAAGGTTATTAGCTGCTAATACATTAGAGGTACCACTTCTAATGCTACCTGATAGTTTAAATAGGACTTTACAATAGCTTTGAATATAACCACATTTTAAATAATGTTTCTATGTGAGAAAACTCTTTCCAGTCCCAAACAACAGATGTAAAACATCACCTATTTCCAATTTACGACTGTCCATAAAAGGGGAAAAGGAACTGTGAAGTCCTGTGGGTTCTTTCACCGAGATTCACAGAAGTGCGTCGGTGGGATCCGAACTCCATGAAACTGTATACAAATGTTGTGTACATGTACGTTTTTTGGAGAACTTATATCATATCACCCATGACACACAGGTAAATATCATTTTAAGAACCACAACTATTAACTGCTTCACAGAGAAATGTACACATAATGTCTAGGATATACTAAGTACAAGATGTAAAATGAGTCTAGACTTCTGTCTCTACAATCCATCTTTATTCTCATCGAATCCTCTGCCATCCACATAAATCTGATGGCAGAACTTGGTTTGATCTTATGGGATGGGGAGTGGGGGGGGGGATCTTACTGAGAGTTGCTGTTTTTCCATACCTTAACATATAAATATTTACATGTTTCTTAAACAGCTGAGAATTTTTTACAGCCCAATAATAGGTTTTACTAATGTCACAAAATGCACTGTAATCACTGGGTACTTCTATTCCCACCTCCATCATAACCCACAGGCCACACATCAAATAATTACAGATGCATAAAATGCACAGGACATGCTCTAGAATTTAAATTTTCAAGTTCATACTGAAAAGCTGTGCTTCAAAGCTATACAATCCATTACTGCCCAATAAAGTATGCAAAACAATTCCAAGACATGAACGGAATATAAACTGACCTTCATGAGATGCTGATTTATCCACTTTGTAAACGTTTTCTTTTGAACTTTGTCCCGTTCATCTGCGGGGGAGGGGAGACATAAAACAAGGTTGGTAAAAATCTATGAATAGACTTTAACTGTGATTATACATAAAACAAAAGATAAGGTAGTCAAAAATACTGTTTCGTGTACTTGAATTTTGTGTTGAATTCTGGCGACTTCAGGCTATCTGTAAGAAGGTGTTAAAGAGCTCCTGCCAGACTGGCCTCCTCCCAGTGTTGTACTTGCCAACATCACTCCTTCAAACCAATGTCCTCTGCTTCTGTAGCGCAGTCCCCAGCCCCACCACCGCCACAGAGATGTCTAGTCTAAACTTCACAGCTTCCGGTGAGTCCTTGCACTGAGCTGCCCAAAGCACTTTGCCACGTGTTACATCCCATTTGGTCTTCACATTCATATGAGAAAGGGTAGGTAGTTTCATTCCCATTTTACGGAAAAGGAAACCAAGACTCAGAGAAGTTAAAAAAGTTATCTGTGATTGTTCAGCAAATTGTTTAAAGTGGTGACAAAAGGCAGGACTTGCATTCTGGTCCTGTGGTTTGAAGTGGACTCTGGTTTAATTACTAGCCACGCTGCTTCTCTCCTAGACTGAAAGAAACAAACACCCTACCTAGACCCTTGTTACAGAGAGCGATACTGCCCGTGGTTACTACAGACACGATGCAGAGTCAGCTGAGAGAAGGTTTCCTAGGATTTAAGGAGAAGGAGTATTGGAATGTTCTGGTTCATCAAGTTATTATTTCAAAAGAGAATCATAATCTTCCAGTGTCTAGAGCGAGCATTCAGAGCTACACTATTTTCCCCCTCCTTCCTCTCCACATCTGGGGACACCTCTCTGTGTCACTGGTGGTCTTCTTTCCTCTCTCACCACAGTTCAGACGTTCTCAGTCCTTCCCCTGGGGCAAGACATGCCTTGCTCTCCTCATTTCTTTCCTTTCTCATTCTTGATCCCTGAATCTTCTTAAACTATTTTTATGGAACTAAAGCTGCTTTGCAAATGCTTGCCCTGCCCTGGCTGGTTTGGCTCAGCGGTTGGAGTGTTGGCCTGCGGTCCTGAGAGATCCGGGTTCGGTTCCTGCTAAGGGCACGTGCCTCGATTGCAGTTTGTCCCCAGCACTGCTTGGGTCACGCGGGTGGCAACCACTCGATGTGTCCCTTTCACGTCGATGTTTCTCTCTCTCTCTCTCCCTCCCACTCTATCTGAACAAAAAATGGAAAAATGTCCTTGGGTGAGGATAAAAAAAAAAAAGAAAATGCTTGCCCTGCTTATTAAAAGTATGTATATACTTTAAAATAATTAAAATATATATAAATAAATCATCTGGGAAATAGATCTGTGAGACAAAGGTTACTAATATTAATACCAAAAACCAGAAATAAGAAATCAAAAGATGAAGTTCTTAATATATACAGATAGGTAATCCACTGGAAAAAAATTAATGCCCATAGGTATTCAACCTCTCTAGCAAATAACAGTAATATAAAACACCACCAATCAAGCTTTTTAAACTATCAAATTGCCAAGATTTTATTGTAAAAATATTGATGTTCATAAGAACACAGGGAAAAGACACACACACATATATATCACTAGTGGAAATATAATTAGGCTTAAACCTTTCAGACCTATCCTATTCGATCCTGCAGCCACTAGTCACATTTGTCTATTTAAGTTTAAACCAAGATTAATTAAAACAAAATAAATTAACAAGTCATGTCCTTGGTTCACTACTCACAATGTAAGTGCTCACTAGTCACGTGTACCTAATGGCTAAGACACTGGACAGGACAGATATCGAACAATCCCATCATCACAAAAATCTCTACTGGGCATCACTGCTCTAGAAAAATTTGCCACTAAATCAAAAGCCTTAAAAATATATACACTTTCCCCCCACAAATCTACTTCTAAATCTTGGTCGTGTACAAAATGTACGTATAAGAATATAAATCCGAGGGTTTACAGTAGCAAAATAAAAGCCCTGGCCAGTTTGGCTCAGCGGTTAGAGCGTCGGCCTGCGGTCTGGAGAGACCCGGGTTCGGTTCCCGCTAAGGGCACGTACTTTGGTTGCAGTTTGTCCCCGGCCCTGGTTGGTCGTGCGGGTGGCAGCCACTTGATGTGTCCCTTCACGTCGATGTTTCTCTCTCTCTCCCTCCCACTCTACCTGTACAAAAAATGGAAAAAAAAAATATCCTCTGGTGAGGATTAAAAAATATATATATATATAAATCCGAGGGTTTACAGTAGCAAAATAAAAGCTCTGCAAATTATATGTGTTTCAATGATAAGAAAATGGTTCATTATATTTTAGCAAAGCAATCTAATGGTTTGTTCTGATTCAGCTCTTTGCCAGCTCCTCAGTGATGGCATACTACTTAGAGCTCTCTGACATGTCAATGCCAACATGAAAGGGCAGGAAAAGGGATCATATAACCTGGTTTGTATTTCATAAGCATTTATTCTCCAAAGTACCTCCTTGAAACCTTTTCTATTTCCCGCCATCATCAGGGAGAAACAACAACAACAAAACACCTAAGCATGGCCTATAATTTGGTTTGTCCGTAACAAACTCATTTTCAGTGTCCCAAACATCTAGTCTACTTCTTGACTTAACACCAGATATTAAAAAATTGGAGAAAAACCTGGCCGGTGTGGCTCAGTGATTGAGCATTGACCCACACACCAAGAGGTCACTGGTTCAATTCTTGGTTGGGGCACATGCCCAGGTTGTGGCCCTGATCCCCAGTGGGGGTCATGCAAGAGGCAGCCAATCAATGTTCTCTCTCATTGATGTTTCTATCTCTCTCCCTCCCCCTTCCTCTCTCTCTAAAATCAATAGAGAGAAAAAAAGTTTTTAAAAAATTGGAAAAGAATTTGCAGAAAACACATCCAGAAGACAGAGGCTTGCTGAGTCTGAATATAAATGCCCAGAATTTATGCTAAAATTGTTACATTTGCCTGATTCCCAATTTAAAATCTCCAGGCACTTTGCTTATAACTACTCTTCCAAGATCAATGATATTAAGTATTATTAACCAACATTATCATCCACAAAATATTTAGTAATCATCTGTTGACGCCTTTGGGGCATCACCTACACCTCAACTCATCTTTGTCTACCCCATAGTGGAAGTCATAATATTTTTAAATGCACTCAACAAGTAAATATCATGATGTGGATTGTATTTCAAAAAGAATGATCCAACTCAGAATAACAATGTATAATTACTTATATAATTACATACAGTAGATAGCCCACTATATTTCTTAAAGTGAAATATAATGCCTTAAATGTCTTTCAGCCTTGCTATTCCTAATGCGTTCAGAATGAAACTAAATTACTAATTAGTACCTAAAGCAAGAACAAAGAAAGAGAAGCAATCTACTAGTTCTCCTTACTGATAAAATGTGGATTCTATACTTCCCTCATTTACTCACTCATTCATGCCGGCAGCTATCAAGCAAGTCCTTCCATAAGCCCGGTGCCACAGTGGTACTGGGACCACATGGCTAGGCAGCAAGAGCACTGGTCCTTGCTCTCTGGAGCTCATCCTCTAGAGAGGGCTCCTGACAAGAAGGCAGTGTGACAAGCATGCCAGCTGCACGAAGGCTGTGGCACCCACCATGTAAGCAAGCACAAACGAGAGAAAGACCAACCCTGTCCAGGGCAGTCAGGTGGAGCTTAAGGGAAAGAAAGTAGACAGAAGCCAACCATATGCAGATTTCTCCATCAAAAAGAAACCCTGGTTTGCCCTGGACGGTGTGGCTCAGTTGGTTGGAGCGTCGTCCATACACCAAAACGTGGCAGGTTTGATTCCAGTCAGGCACATACCAGGGTTGCAGGTTCGATTCCCAGCCCTCCCCCTCCCCCTCCCTCCCTCTCCCTCTCTCTCTCTCTCTCAAATCAATTTTAAAAACTCTGGTTGAGTAATTTAAGATTGAAAGTGCCATGGTTAGAACCCAAGCATTGTGATTCCCTGCAGAGTTGCTTCTATCACCCCAAGAAACTGTCATCTTTTGAATGAAAGTGCTGAACACACCTCATTCCCAGACTGGGTGCTGAGGAATGTGTGATGTGAACTTTAGACAAGTAAATGCAAACAATGGAACTTCTGTGCCAAAGTCTACTAGTCATGTCACACTTTCAGCATGCCTAAGCCTCCAGCACAAAGAAAACAAGATGGAAAAAGTAAAGATTACTTCCTAGGCGAAATCCATATTATTCCCACAAAATTAATAACCTAGGATCCCATTGTAAAACCATCAAGAAAAACATTAAAATGTATTATTAATTTAAAATCTTTATAGCTGAAGAATAGATAGCTTTTATATCAAGTTTATTAATTTCTTGAATCATCATATGAACTCTAATAATAATATATGAGCTCTCACAAATTTATTTTTCGCATGAAATTTAACATGTTATGTGTATTACAGCAAATCCTTTCCTCCTGGTACATAACAGTTAATAAAATCTATTTCTTTTTTTCTAAATTAATAAAAACCAGTCCCAATTTAAAAAATTAACAATAATTCTTCATTATCATCAGTAACCCAATAAGTGTTCACATTATCCCAATTATTTAAATTTTTTCAACAGTTCATTTGTTTAAATTCAAATCCAAATAAAGTCCATACATTGTGATTAAGTAAAAAATAAAATATTTAAAAAAATTTCAACTGTTCCTATATTTTAAGGAATATAAAGTAGTAGAACATATGTTCTAAAGACCAATCACTTATTGGTTAATATCTTACCTATGGGGTACAGTGAGAAAGCTGATTGAATCAAATAATTTACCTCCAAGTACCGATGAGACAGACACTTAAATAATTAACTAGAAAAAGGTTACTTTGATCACTGAGGTTTTGTTTATGGTGGTTATTACTAGAAGCTCAAAAGTATGCTGAAAATGTTAAATGGTTGCTAAATATTTGGCAGGTAATACTATGATAATATCTGAGGATATGACCTATAACTAAAGTTCATGACTAAGGTACAAAGACTAAAGCTAATTA